TTTTTTTTTTTTTCTGAGAAGGTATAAGGAAAGCAGTCTAAATACCACTTTTAACGTGTATTTTCAAGCATCTTCAATCATGTGTGGCACTTCGTGAACTTACATTGTTATTGACACAGCTTTCTCAGCGTTGTTTATATCTTGGGCTCTGTCGGCTTGCAGGTTTGTTTTTCTTCCGGCAATATTTCTTTATGTGGCGTGTTCTCATTAGGTGGTTAGTTTTTTACTAAGGCTAGAGAGTAATGTTCCCCCGGTTCGTTTTTGAATGAAAATTATCTAATCACTTTCTTGGAGTGGAAAATACATTATGGTTTCTCTCCCGTTTGATCTCAGCCTTAGAATAGTGTTATTTAGGCCTTTCGTTGCGGAAGTTGGCACTTGTTAACAGTGTTGCCGACGCGAGTACGATGCGTGTCATAAGTAATACTCAGAGCTCCACTTTAAGATCTCTCGGCTTAATCAACTGTTTTTACCTGGGGGATACCGCTCTTGAGACTATCATAGAAAATGTTCGCATAAGAACTTTGAATATCCGGTTAGTTAACTTTTTGAACTTTACAACTGATGTAGAAGAGTACTTAATGTGTTTACGCCATGTGGTTCTTTTATAATTTTGTTTTAAGTAAGTAGTTTCCTTGTAGATCTAGTCGCAGAATTACAACTGCTGCTATTCAACGTTTGATTGACGCTCATCGATGCTCAAAAATAAAGGAACCATTGAAACTTTACTTATTTAGATCGTCTGTCGATATTCCATCTGTAAGTGATGAAGTGGCTGGACAATGACATTGAAGTTCTTAACTTAATTTTCTTTCTTAGTTACTGATATAACATTTTTGGACTTTGGCTTTTAGTTTCTTTTGAGGTAAGTATAACAGCTTGAAATCTTTATATGCATTTGTTTATGGCGATATCTGCAGCTAATGCCATAATTACTCCTTTGGAGAGCAAAAGGAATTTTTCAGCTCAAATATGAGCCAGGTCGAGTACTTTTTTTCGATGAAAAGCGTTGGAGAAAACGCTTGCACACTGGAGAATTTTTGCACGAGACTGCTGTTCGTCCGGATTGGGAATACAGCTCTGACGAAGACGATTTTGTTTGAAAGAGTTTGTCTTTTTATTTTTGTGTTAACAAATTTTGCACAATTATATCGTTGTGGGGAAGCATAATTTGTAACTATCTTTCTGGTTTTGCTTAATTATGACAACAATCTGTGCTAACAAGTATTTGCAAGAGAACTTATTACTTGCAACCTCTGTTTCTGTTTAAGAGTACGAGAATTTTTCTGTTTTTCTGCGACGTTGTTGACATAGTATGCTTTTTCATTTTATAGGATGGAATTTGAGTCTTAAATTAAAAGCTTTAAATTGATCTTGGATAAGTCCGACTACTAGAACCGGTATTTTTAATTGAAATATTTGAAAGAGATTAACATTTTCATTGTTATAACGTATTTCTTTTTCTCGCTAACTGTCCATCGTCTGTCTGCAACGGTGGGGCTTTATTGTGAGTGGTTCAAGATTACGCATTTAGAGCCACATGTGAAAAATTATTATCTCATTGCTAATCTTTTTTTTCTGGTTGCTGTTTATGCTGTCAGTCATTTAGTTTTGAACTGCAGATAAAAAAGCCTGAAAGAGATTTTAGCATTCATTTTTCTGTTTATTTGGTGTTTGTAATTCTCCTAATGCTTTCAGACTTTCATTGCATGTTATGCTCAAATTTTCTTACTTGTTTCCTTTTAATTTAATTGTTGTAATGTTGCCGTCTTTTAGTGCTTATATTAGCTTTTGTGTTAGGGACGATATAGGGCTGTTTGCTCTTTTTTAGGAAGCAACAGGAAAGAGGAGGTTTCCTGTTACCTGTGTACTTGTTAATTGATCTATATATCCTTTGTTCATTCTTTTTACGGCGTAATGTTGCGCATGTATCGTTGTTTTTGCTTCATTTCTCCCGTCTGGTGGTGTATTGAGTAGATAGCACGTTTTTGATCTGGACTTTTAATTTTTTAGATGGGTTTCTTTTGTGCTCGCTTTTTTAAAGTATTTGATGGCTTTTTTGAGTTGCGAAATTGTCTGCCTGGGAAATCCAAAGAGTTCTTCTTCGTTAAACCAGGCTGAATGGCTTTCGATTTTTTAGTTCTAGCCCTATTTTCTTTGTTGAGAATTTAATACATCAAAGTATTTCTGCTTGGTATACATCGCTTTTCCGGATGATATTACGGGTTCTTTGTTGTTTGGTTGTAATCTGTGATTAATTCAAAGAAGGTCCAAGTCGTTTTTGCATCAAATTTTGAGCGAATAACTTTTGTTGAATAAAATATTTTGTTGCAGCCGGCTCAGTCTATTCTTGTTACGCTACTCCTATAACTTTTTTGATCTTGTTATGAGTAATAGAACGAGTAAGGTTGTTAACAATGAGGAAATTGAGGTTTTTAGCTTGGTTAGTTGAAGAGAAGGACGATGGCCAGTCCTTCATTCTTTTGACTGAAGGCTTGTGAACCTGAATTCTTGTCTTAGTGGAGCAATAATGGGAGTCTAGATTTTAAACTGGAGATCGATGGTTTTACTTTGAAGGTGGTCATCAAATGTTTACATTGAAAGTTGCCAGTGCAGTCGTGTAATTCGAAGTCGAAGGGTATGAAGGCAGGCAATGCTTTTTTTACTGTGGAGGTTTTTCTGGGAAGGAAGCTGGACATATCAAAACGTTGGTACAGGTCCAACCTATTAGTGGTTTGTGGTTCAGGAAATCATAATTCTATTAAAAGATGAAACTTTATTCTTGAAAAAAAATTTACAACTTAAAGTGTACCAAAAGATCAGAGGAAAGGAGTGTTGACAATCCTCCATTTGTTTTCCGCTGGTGACAGCACATGATACAAGCTTTTCCCACATTGTCTACGCCATCTTCTGCTTGATTTCTGCATCGATCCTACTATACGCTTTATGGCATAATTTGTATGTAGATAGTTTTGGCATCTATAAACTTAAAGCAATTTCATTTTAAGTTTTTCCAAATCCTGTCAGAGTTTTCCTTGTTGGTCCTTCCATAAAACTTGAAAAATACTCACTGGTGATTGACAAACCTTTTAAAACAGTAAGTATAAACCCTTTCACGAGCTTAGAATTGGTCACTATAAATTTCGCAACTCATCATTCGTACTCAGTTTTAGTGACATGTTTTTTGGGTTTCTTTCACTGCGTTGACTAGGCTTTTTTAGTTTGGTTTAAAAAAGTATCTATGATACATTGTGTTAACGGGTATATTGCTCTGAGAAGATCTTTAACAACTTTTGAAAATTCGAGAAGTTTTGTGCACACTTTAGCTCCACAGCTTTTATAGAGAATTTGTAAAAAACCAGATGGTCTGTTAAAACTTCTGAAATTATTAAACACTTGGTTTCACCCAAATATGGCAAAAAGAATTAAAAAAAAGACTTCAATTTTCCTTTAAATCGGTTTATTTTCTTTCTAGATGCTTTTATTTTCTTTTATTTCATTGTACATTATTTATTACTCCTCTGTCAAGTTATTAATTAAGTTATCACCTGTTTATCCTTTGAGATGGAGATATGCTTTTAGGACGCTTGCAATTCCATACAGCAGTGCATCTACTGCTTTCTGTACAAGCATTTTTCTTTTTTTTTTTTTTTCTGCTACTGCTGTTGCAACTAAAATTTCTTTTAGCGATTTAGTAAAAAAAAATAATAAAATAAAACTTAGCAGCAATTAAAAAGCAAAAAGCTTTTCCTGTTACTCTTTCCTTTCAATTTGATTGAAAACCCTGTCTATACAGTTCTTGACTAAACCTGAAAGCGAAATGCACTTGAAGTCTGTTAAGCTTAGGCCGCAGTTAAGCGTCAAAGATGTAAAATTACCCACTGATCAGTGATACGTACGTTTCAAACTCATTTTTTGCTCTATTTCGTGGGTAGTTTGAAGAGTTTATTTTTTAGAAATTGCAGGTTTCAGATCAAGGCCATTGTTGTTCTTCCTTTGTCTTAAT